GGGGTGGCTGTGATGCCGTGTTTCATGGCTACGTCGTAGGCGCCGCTGATGTCCACTTTGATGAGCCGGGCCTTGGGGCCGGCTTCTTCGGCGAGCGTGTCGTAGAGTGGGTAGAGGGCTTTGCAGGGCGGACAGGTCGCTGAGGTGAAGAAGACGAGGGCGGCGGTGTGGCGGGCTAGGTCGAGCTCGTGGTCGAGTTGCGCGAGGCTGGTGACCTGGTGGACTCTACTTGGGGTTTGGGTTGGGGTTGGTGTGCTGGTGGGCGCCTGGGTGACGGGGCGCAGGGCGGCTTCGATTTGGGGCTTCAGCATCTGGCCGAGCGGCGTGCTGAGGAACGTCTGGGGCAGGTTGCGGATGTGGTCGGGGATGCTCTGGCCCAGGAGGAACACGGCCAGGTCTTGGGTGAAGTTGTTGCAGTTGTGGAGGAAGAGGTCGTAGGACTGGGTGGTTGTTAGTTTGTGGTTGGTATTTAAGATGGGCTGAGGGACTTGCCTCTGGGGTGTAGATGTCGCCTAGTGAGTCGATGTACTCGGATATCACGTCCGGTGGCAGCTCTGTCTGCCCCAGATGGACCTTTTCCATGGGCTGGCCGTGGTGTGTGCTCCCCGGAGAGGCGGTTTGGATGCCATGGCCGAAGTAGTATTCCACGCCGTTGAGCACGATGGCGGTGTGGTAGATGGCATCGATGTGCGTTCCCGTTAGAGGGAGGGACCACTGGACTATGTTAGATGTTTGTCCTTGGCCTCAGTGATGGCACGGGTTCGACGTACCTGGCGGGCGAGACCCTGTTGCATGTTAGCCAATGAGCTTGTGGTTTTATACTGGATGGGAGTACCTTGGAGAGGTCGTAGACGTACAGCTCTACGTCCATGGTATGGGTGCTGTAAAGACGTTCTTCTACTGACTGGGGTCTGTCTATGGCGTGTAGTACAGTCGACGATGGAGAAAGTCAGAAAGATGTCTGGGGACAAAGTAGGGTATATAAAGTCAGGCCGTTGGCTCGATTGGGAAATGTAGGCATTATTTGGGGTTACGTCAGCAGGCCCAGGCAGTCACGGGAATGCGTCGATTGTTCGGTGATCTTCGATGCAGGACCATGACTGCATTGTCTTTACTATTGCTATAGAGAGAATCTAATTTTATTGTCTCCATTAGTATCCAAGTTGCTGTAGCATGCATTCCCATAACCACTATGTAGAGAAGCCAGTATACCTCATGTAATTCATAGAAAATAAGCTCAGCGCATCCTCGGTATAGATAACCAACGCCGTCTCCGCCTTCACCTGCGCATTAAACCATTCCGCCACCAACAACCACAACTCCCCACTGACACACCCAACGCCAACAAGGGGAGATGGTGAGTCCCTGTCAATCGCACAACAACCCTCATTTGCGCACACATCCACTAACCAGAATCGCACCGCATCCAGCCTCCCAAAAAGCGCAGCGCACCCTCCGCGCCCAGGAAAGCGCGACAATCGAAGCTCGCCAAAGCGAACGACATCAGCGCGACCGAAGAAAACGAGATCAAAGAAGTCTTCCAGCTGTTCGCGACCAGCGCCGCAGACTTCCCCAATGAGAAAGAGGGGGTAATCGCCCGGGAAGACGTCCGGAAGGCACTTGTGTATGTCCCCCCCCCGCGGCTTCCACTCCTGTGCCGGTGTGTTGGATTGTATTGACTGAGGGATAATCAAGAGCGCTGGGACTCGCGCCGGCGGACTCGCGAGAGCTTCACGATATTCTGGCTGCGGTGGACCCCACGACGACTGGGTATGTGCTCTATGAGCCGTTTGTGTCGGTTGCGGCGGCGAAGTTACGGTCGCGCGATGACGATGCCATGGTTGCCGAGGTGGATGCCGCTTATCAGCTGTTTACAAGGAATACGGATGGGCCGATTACGTTGGGGCATTTGAGACGGATTGCGCGTGAGTTGAAGGAGGATGGGCTGGGGGATGACTTGCTACGGGATATGATTTTGGAGGCGAATGGGGGCGCGGGTATTGACGCTGGGGTGAGCTTGGAACAGTTTCATGAGGTTATGACTCGGGCTGGCGTTTTCTAGTTATTAGATTTGGGATTGGGGTGGCGTTGGCTTTGGGTTGGTGTCTTTAGGCTTGTTTTGCTGGTATGCTTCTCATGGATCGTGTACATACATCATGGAGGAATATAATATTGGTTTTGAGGTATCTACTTCAGAATGGAGGTCTTTGGGTACCTCGGGAAGGGGCTGTGGTGGGCATATTTCGGGATGTCAGAAGCCTGGATGGATGCGGGCTACTGATGCTAACTAGCAATGTACGAACGAGATAACATTCTTGTTGACCTAAAAAAATGACTGTCTTGCTGATGCAGAGTGCGCCCGGTCTATACCCGTCCAGATCATATCCACATAGAAATACAAATCACAAAACAATGCAACGCCTTAGCGGGACTTGGGGTATCATAATAGTGATGTACACAGTTGCTAGAGCCCGTCAATCGAGCGGACCATGCTAAATATAACAATATGTAAGGGATATACTCAATCGACGTCCGAAACAGGCCGTGCATTCTCGACTGGAAGCTCTGCCTTCTCAGGCGTGGATACGCTTGTGGTTTGAGATGTTTGGGAGTCGTCAGTACTCGCAGATGTTGTCGACATGTCCTCCGTGGCAGCACTCGAGGTAGATACTGAATTCTCCGCCTCTGCAAAATCCGGCTCGCCAGTTCCAGCGGGGAGAGAAGATGGATCCACGGCTTCATAAAACAGCATGAAAGCTCCTCCCTGCGCCATAACGTTGGATTCGCTGACCATCTGCACATCCTCGTCACTCAACCGGAACCAGCGCTCGGTCGTCTGCTTTTCACCGTCCTGCTCAATGACTGACTCCGGAACGTCGGCGGGGAATGTATCTGAAGAGTACTTTCTATAGCATATGTAGTGACCGTTCTCATGACGGCCGTAGTGCGTGATTACCGCTCGTAATTCATATAGTTGTCCATGGGCGTCTGCGATCTTGGCGGCTTGTGCGAGCATCGACTCTCTCGGATCCATCTCCCACGTCTCGCTACCGGCAGCCGCTCCCAGGCACCACTCGCCCATATCAAGGATCTTTGGGAACTTCAGAGCGGCGTAATTCTTTCGAAGCATTCCCGTCATTTCATCAAACAAACTTCGATTGATGTGAACGACAAGGCATTTCGGCGGCCTTGCAATCACAGCTTGCCTGGACTTCGTGGAGGAAACACGGTTCCTCGAAGGGATATTGCATTTCTTAGAGAGCGTCTTCTCCGTAAAATCCTCTTCCTCGAGGGCCTCCTCGACAGCCTTCAATCGTTCCTGCGCCGAATTCTTCAGCGCTGCAGATACACTCGGTGAATCGGGTGTGTTCGAAAGCGACTTATCCTCCTCGATCTGTTCAAGTAAATTCTGGAGTTGTTTTTGAGCGTGCAACAAAGTACACTTCGCACATTCCACCCCTTCAATAGGTTCTAGATCCATATAATCCTGGAGACAATCACGAACATCGTGTTCGTAGCCCGCCCCAAGTGGTACCGTTAGGCAATTGAATGGAATAAGGGATAGACCCTCGGTCCAACCGCATTGCATGCAGCCCACTCGCTGTGCCAGCAGACCTTCCAATGGGTTTCCGAAGGAACGTATTTCGGCGATCCGAGCCCCGACAGAGGTGTCCAAATTTGTTTCCTGCGTAGACCCAGCCCCAATAACATTTTCCTGCGGGCTTGCCACCTTCAATCCGAGGTTCCGGGTCTGCTTCCGTGTAGCCTGCTGTATCTCGAAGTCTATCTGGTCGACAACCTTCGAAAAATATTCTTGTGCGTCTTGTTGCTGCCAACTGCTCATCGATTTCAAATCTGCCGGAGTCCATAACCGCTGCCCGTAGCTGTCGGGGCTATTCAGCCGTTCTATGATTCCCTTGAGCGCCTGATGTGTCGAGAACGTTCCCTTCGCCCCGAATAAATCGATGTTCCGTCCCAAAAATGTCGCTAGCGACTCCAGCGAAGCGAATCCTTGTATAATACTGTTCTGGTAGCACGAGTTGTCCCAGTTGCCCAGACCTGGAGGTAGACTGTCCTTGTTGCCGAGAAGTGTAGTACCGAAGCCTGGCAGTGTTGGAGCTCGAGGGATAAGGGAGGAAAGTGATGAGTTATCGAGTCTAAGGATCCGCTTCATCGCTTCGCTCTTAGCTTCGAAAGTCATCGGACCGGCACTTTCGTCGATCGGGGTTGAAGTTGCTTTTGTGTCTAGGGCGGCGACTACTCTGGACGGCGTCATGTAGACGATGACGTCCCACAATGCTCGAGCTGCCGTGGCCGGAATCGATCCAGACTGAGTCAAGGCGACAAAGACGAGTATCGCGATCGCTAGGGTGGAGGCTATGCTTGGGTGATCATGTAGATACTGAAATACCGTGTCATAGTGGCTATTCTTTGCGTGGTTGAAGGGACTTTGAGTGAGGACACTGTTCGCCCCTCTATGAGAGTGCATGGTTGAGTGGGAAATCCGGGAGGTCACGGCATAGAGACAACTTTCGAATACTCATGGACGGGTAAAAGAAAGAATATGAGTCTGTATATCTTATGTATAGATTGGTGATATTTGAACTGTTTGCCCGTCGGAGTTTAATAAGCGCTACCGGTTTCACTTCTGGTTCCTGTGGTTGCCCGGACTTGTTATCGATAAGCGACTTATCGTCTCCACTGAAAATATTCTACGGCTGTGATAAAAACACAAACTTTCCGGTCCTCATCACAATGGCTAAAGCAAGAGGTACGTGGAGATTATGCAGGAGGGAATGAGGCTACTAAATTAATGGCTGTCTATAGTCCAGTCAAAGCACTCTCGTGCGGCCCGCCGGGCAGCATCGCCGAGTCTCAACGTCGACAAGTCTTTAACCACCCTTCCCCGTGCCGAAGATACCGTGATACAGCGTGAATCCATCCTTTCCGATCGCGCAAATGCCGGTGTGGCCAAGAGGAAATCGAAAACGAAAGCCCTGTCAAAGGCGCAGCGTGCTAGGCAGCAGAAGGGTATCGAAAGAGCAGAGAATATCATGGATCAACTAGAGACGAAAGTGGAGAAGAGTCTCAAGCGGGGGAAGACTGTGAAAGCACGTAGGGTACGAGCAAAATGATTTACCCAAGGGCATTACCTTGACTGACAATGCGGGCTGCCAGGCTGAGTGGGAAGACCTGAATCGCAAGTCGGGGGCGACCATGTTTCAGAACCTCAACGACGAGGCGGATAATGATGACGATGACGCTATGGCTGATGTTTCCGCGGCCCCTAAGAAAACAAAGCCGCAGCCGCAACCCACATACGTGGCTCAAAACCCGGCGGTCGACCAACACGCAGACATTGACGTGGACGATGATATCAGCTGAGATGTCACAGCGACAGTGCAAAGGAGATACCAGGCTCGTCACGTCAACTATTTCCTTGGCCTAAGCTGGTTGATCATTCGATCAATGTCAGCGACAGCTTGCCCCGAAGCTCTTGTCCGGAGGAGCTCCAGGGTATTGAAGTCTTTGGCCCTGAAGGCTTCCTCCCCGGCTTTCACGATCATTCCACATTTCACCCACATTTCCACCTTGTCTTCGACTGGTAAATTGGTGCATTTGGGTACGAAAAACGAAGCGAGTTCGTGTTTCCAGCACCTAGTATCTCGTTATAGAAAGGCTGTCCATTTGTGTCAGCACGTGCATGCATACAACTGAAGCCAGTTAAGAATTGGCTCACCTCCCATCCGATCGGCGATTTTTTGTTTCTGCCGATCTCTTCCAACTCACCCCAGTCTCGTTTGGCAACTAGAGCCCTTAGTCTAAGCCACCAATATGTCTTGTCTGGCAGCTTAAATTCACTCTGAAGCTTCTGTGCTCTCTTGCCGTAGCCCGATCGGATCAGTCTGTAAATAGTCTCGTTTAAGCTTAGACCCACAAACTCCGACCGATCTGCAATGTCCTTGTCCAAGGCTTCCTGAACCTTCAACAACTGTGATGCTTCGGAAAGAAGTTTTTGCTGCAAGACTACTGTCGCGTCTTTAGAGTCAACTAATAACCGAGAGGCAAGCTGCAGCTTCTCCGTTTTGTGCGGCAATTCTGTCTGAGCCAATGCTTCTGAGAGGAGCACATTAGAGCCATCGATCGGACGATCGTCTTGGTAGTAGAGATCTTTTAGTAGTTCGGTATCGTCACCTCGAGCGGTCGTTTCCACAAGGGCAGAAGCCATAGGTCGGCTGTTAATCATTCTGAAGAAGCTGGCCAGGGGGAGTTTGCTTTTGAGACGTAGAAGCACATAGCTTACTAGGTCATTGTCCCCGCTTTCGATGGCTTTATCAAGAGCGATTTCATCCTCCTCCATATTCAGAAGTAATGGAACCTGCTTGCCGGCCCGCGGCTCGTGGTTCAGCAGCTGGGTCGCCAGTTGCGCACGCCCTTCATCGTAAGCGGCTTGTGCGATCAGTTCGAACGATATCCCCGGCTTGCCATCCAATCTTTGCACGATAAGCTTACAGACAGCTTCATCGTCAACGGTTGAAACCTTGACTTTCTGGCTAGCCCAATGAACGTAAATCCTGTCGGCGGGTATCTGCAGGTATTCCGAGATCTTGATGGCAAGTAGATATTCATGTCTATTCACCAAACGTTCAATAAGTTTCTCCGGAGTCAGCCGCATGTATTGATCATATGAGATTGGGAGCCCAATCTGGTAGTCCCTGACTGCTTTAAGGACTCGTAGTTTCTCGGTCATTTCTACGAAATCGTCACTGTTGTATAAATCCAGAACAGACTTTCCGAATGACGCAGCTTTCAACAATCTCTTCTGCCAATATGCGTCGAACTCATGACCCGCGGCCCTAACGCAAGTGTCAACGGCCTCTGGCAAACTTGAACGGATTCGCTGAATGTTCTCGTCGGCCTTGGGAGATTTCTTTTCCAGCAAGTCGACTGAGTCCAGCAGGACTGAGGCAGGGGAGGTAGACCCGAGGCGGAAGATCGCCTCCGTTACCTCTAGACTGGTCGTTAATTGGCGAGAAAACAGATCTTGCAAGCAAACATACCAGTAACTTTATGCAGAAATTCGCATGTGTCATGCGTGATCAATCGCACGCCATCAAACTCGGGGACGACGTGGACAGTGCCGTCATAGTAGTAGCTAACTTGGTTAGGAGATCGCAAGCTTCCGGATACGATGGAGAACTCACCGAGCGGCAACGCCGTTGGGGCCAATCAAGTGCACTTCATCTTCCCACGCAATGACAACAGCATCATCGCCACACCAGTCAACCGTCCGGGGAGTTACGCGAGATTCGGGGTCATATTCGCTGTACTTGCTCTGGAAGTCACTACTGACTACCCATACCTTGCCTTCCGCCGTAATGAGAGCCACAAATCTTCCGGTTGGCGACACGCTGGCATGCTTGAAAGGACCGTTTTGAAGCACTTTGTCCTCTGCTTCCGTGGGATCAACAAGGTATACAGTTTTGTCAACTGCTAGAAGTACCTCGACCGAGCGCGACAATGTAAAAGCAGGTGGAATTAGTGACCACGATGAAACTTCTCCTTCAGGACAATGGGCTAGGAGCTTCGGTCGAGGCTCGTCATAGTTAGACACCGCGACCAGCTGGTTATTTGAGAGGAGAGCAACGAAGCCGGAAGTCCAAAAGCGACAGGCTCTGACTCCATATTCTTCCGCTCCCTACGCATATTAGCACCGAAATATAGTAGATATAGGTATCAAAAGCCTACGTTTCCAAGAGAGAATGAAGTGAAATCTCCATATAGTCCGAAATAGCGTCGCACGGTGCCATCTTCCGTGATCACTAACAACTCTTCTTTGTCGGACCAGCCGAGCCCTCGAATAGTACCATGCTCCCACTGGAACCGTTAGAGTTAGAAGTACTATTGAGTTGAATCATTAACTAACATTAAGTCGATTAATCAGCTTTCCTGAGGACGAGTAGATACCAATGCTCGACCTGGCGGTCTGAGCATCACGGAACCTGTACGGCTTGGTATCATCGCGATGCAACGCTGTGATTTGTAAGCGTCGACCCAAATATGTATAACTATAGATACTCATACCTAGAGCCCCTCCGTATGGAGCGCCTGCAACGATGTAGTTCTCTAGTTCGACATCTTCATCGAAGATAGCGTCGTATATCGGGACTTTCCTGTAGAAACTATCGCCCAGCCTCTCCCAGTTTGCCAGTGGATTTGATGGCGCCATTGATACTGGCAGATATTCCCATGAACAGAGACCACGCCAACCGAAGAATGAGATCAAAGCTGCGATTGAGCTTGTTGGCGGTCGTTCATCGGGAAGCTCCCAGCTCACATGGGGTCGGACCGGCGCTAAACCAAGTTAGGCGTAGCGTCTTGGCTGTTCGTCGGCCACTTATCAACGCTTAACATTTACTGATACTGAACATCATGAAGCAACCGAGAAAGGATTATGGACGACCTAGCAGAAATATCCAGTCTGGTACTAGAGCTATCAGACCTTGAAGTAGCGCTCTATCTCTGCCTTGCAGCTCGCGAGCATTGCCGTATCGATGCTACGGCAGACAACATTAATGACGTTGCCACAGAGCTCGCCCTGGTAACTTGCTTCCTAGTATATAATGTGCTTCATAGTTCACACACTAATGTTCCGCCAGATATGTGTACACACCTTTGGCCTTACTTGTACTACCGTTGACTGCTCGGAGACTACAACACTGGATGAATTCTGCTCAGAACTCATTCTTGCTAATGCTCGAAACTCGACTGGTCCGAACAATGCGGAGAACAGGACGGCAAACGTCGTCGTAGCCAAGAACTTCGACCGCGCTGCTGACAAAATACAGCTCCAAGCTCTTGAGGTGATTATAGGATCTTGATGGAAGGTTTTCTCTTGCTAATGCCCATAACAGCTGATGAGCTCTAAGAAACTCAATACGTATAATGGCTTCCTTGAGGCCCCCGAGGAATTTCTCTTCATACCGCTTGTTATGCGCAAGACAGAACATGATCAACCAGCTTTAAACTTTCATTTAGTAGGTAGCCTGCTGCCATATCTCCATGATTGGATGATGCTGACCTGTCAAGAATGACCGCCTCATTATCTCCTATTTTCACGGCTCAAGGGACGACTTTATTTACCTAGAAGAGAACAACGACTGGCTTTCTGACGGCCAGATGTCAGCATCGTCCGTTGTGCGCAAATCAGAGGTACCACTGCACAAGGGACACCTGAGTATAGACCGAAAGGTGAGGTTAGCTTGCTGGGAGTTCGTTCAATACTTATCGAAATACAGGCCTTGGACAAACTACAGAAAGCCAGTGACTGTGTAACTATGGGCGCGGATGTAGTCAGGTATCATCAAGATATCACTGTGTTTCTCCGTCTCAGTCGCGCAGTTGCTGGAGGAATATCTGCACGATCAAACGTCTATTTTAGGAAAATTTCAAAGTGTGTCCGCAAGGCTTTAGAAGTATGACTTGAACTAACCCAGATAGGTTGCTCGCTGTACTGCATGGGATTGATTATCTCACGCCATCAATAGTAGCCTTAGCTGCGAAGAAGGTGTTCCGCCATCGAATTATTGTGGCTAAACCGGAAGATGACCGCAGTTTGCAATATGGAAGCGACCTAAAAACGGTAGCCCAGGTTCTATCCTATGCTACTCCTGATACTATCCTGGACAGTGTCTTGACACTGGAAGCTCCATTATGAGCGTTTCAGTCACACCACAATGCAAATCTCATTTTCGATTATTATGCGCTGTCGCAATCAACTGGCCCATAGAATATTTTACAGTGTATAATTCTTGACACGCTGAATTATGCATATAACGTCGTGTCCGCCCCGCAACTGGAAATATATAATATACATGGATACCCGTCCCGTCCGGCTGCCCACCAATGTAGCCTGGACCGTGTCCCTATGGCCGTTCCCCAATTAGTTAATCAAGGTCAAGCAATTCGCCAACCAAGTTCACAATTCCACCTAGCAAATTGGACACCAAATCCACTACACCTCCCAACAACGGAAATGTAACCGACAACAGACACTCCAGCGCATCCGTTACCTCGTCCAATAGTTCTTCCAATACTTCGTCAAGTGTACACTTTTCTTCGTCATCCCGCCTAGTACTTTGCAATACATTGTTTGCGCCCAAGTTGGGCTCTTGGCAGGTCGTCATCTTGCCCAAGACTTTGTCCTTGGATTGCTTGACCAACGCCTCTGCGGATTGGATTTGTTGGAGTTTATCGCTAAGACCTCTTTTATGGGTGGCGCCGATAGTTCCGTTTAGGGCGGGCGCTACTGCTTTGCCATTTTCTGCACTAATATGAGAGAGTCTTTCAAGGATCGGGGAGACGTGGTGGAGGGTGCGATTGAGCCTTTCCAGATTCTGACAATTGTTGAGACTAGCTCCCGGGACTGCCGAGTGGGCGTGGATAAGTGAAAAAATGCTTGAGAGGAAAACGACACAGAACAAGAGTGGCCGATACATCATTGCGATCTGTTGGATGGGTATTGAGTACTAAGTAGTGTTACACTGGTTGGAAGAGGAATTGGAAGAGGAATTGTTGATTCTCCATGATCAATGAAGAATGAAAACCTGGCACTCTTGGCAGGAGAATAAGGGGGATCTACACAGAAAAAAATGAATTCTCAACTAATGCATCGGTTGTGGTTCCAGAGAGCGGGAAAGTCTATCATGTCAGATCATCGATGATATCCTCGCGGCTTACCCCAAACAGTTAAGGTGCTCATTTCGCGTATCCCGGGAGCTGGGCCGAAAAGGAGATACATCGCTTATATCAGCGGGTATCAAGTCCCGTGACCCCACTGACCCAGTAGGTTTGTGGAGAGTATGGGAGCTGTCAACAAGTTAGGTTATTTGTCGGAGGGATTCCGATGGGGGCTGCAATTAGACTGGTCTAGCGCCAGGGTCCCTGGCAACAAGAGTCTCTTGCCTTCCCGGGTCAATCTCCCAAGAGCGAATAACGAAACTTGTGTTATGGCCAAGTTCAACAGGTTGAATATTTCATTAAAATTTCATGTACGCTAATGCAAAAAGGTGTCTAGGCTAGATCATATTCCTTGATCAACTTCTCCGCGCATGTGGCTCCCGTCACATATGCCACGGCCTGAACATGACAGTTGGCCAACACGGGGACCACGCTCATATCCGCTACGCGCAACCCATCAATGCCTATGAGGCGGAAATCGTTGTCCACTGCGGCATCGGCATCGCCCTTCTTACCCATCTTGATAGTGCCAGTCATGTGCCAGCTGGATGAAATGTTCTGTTTCCAGTACTCCAAGAGATCTTCGTCAGAGTCGGACTTGGGACCAGCCAATTCCATGACGTTATCCTTGGTATAGCCATCGTTCTTAGCAATGCGGAACGCATCCCGCAGAGACTCAATCGCAACACGACGATCGAATGGGTGAGACAAGAACTTCGGATCGAAGAGCAAGGGCACATTGGGGTCCGAGGACTGTAGAGTGACTTCACCACGAGCCTGTGCGTTGAACATGAACACGAGCAGACAGGAGTAGTTCAGGGCCTCCTTGGCGAAATCCGGGATGAACCAGTGGATAGGGAAATGGGTCAGGATTTCATAGTGCGGCACAGTCTCTTGCAGAAGATACTTCTGCTCTTCCTCGGGCAGCTTCTGGAATTCCTCGGAGGACGTGAGCTTGTCGAGCTTGAACCAGCCGATACCCAGTTCGCAGGCGAACCGTGACCATGGGCCACTTCCGTCTTTCTTCCATTGCTCAAGGGCCTCGGCCATGGCTTTCTCGTCGCCGTAGAACTCGCGGCGCTGGGTGCTATTCTCCACGCGAGTGTTCACGATCGGGACGAAAGTGTGGTCTCGGAGATTTTGACCAATGACGGGAACATCGAGTTTGACGGGGATATTGAACTTCTCTAGCTGCTGTGCCGGGCCAATGCCCGAGTGCATGAGGATACGCGGACCTTCCAGAGACCCAGCGCACATGATAACCTCCTTTGAGGCGAGGTCTTCGCAAATGTTAGTCAGATATTGTTTGGTTGTAAACTATATTTCATAGTCTCCATTTTTGGATATCATTTTCAAATCAAAGCGGGTAAACTGGAGTTAAACTCACACTGCTTCCCATTGGATTCCACACCCACAACCTTGTTGCCGTCGAATACGAGGCGCTGTACAGGAGCATCGGTGACAATACTCAAATTCTCCGACCGTGGCTTCAAAAGATCCGCAGCTGTTGACCGAACGCCATTGTAGGCAGAGTTAATCAAAACAGACATCCCAATGGGATTGCCCGAGTTATGGTCCGGATTGAAGGGGAACCCTGCTTGTTCGATGACATCCAAAAGCGGCGGGAGATCTTTCTCCCATTCCGAGGCAAACCCTACGTGAAGCGGACCAGAGTTTCCGTGATCTTCCGCTCGAGGAGCTGCGTACTTCGCATCAATACCAGCAGGGAGATCGCCGTGGAAGGTCTCGAGGGCTTTGAACCTGGACTGGATTTGCTCCCAGCGGAAGGCATCATCGCCAACAACTCGTGCCCACTCTTCGTAATCATCGCGGGCGCCTACCGTGTATACACCGAAGTTGATGGCGCTGGAGCCTCCCATGCCCCTTCCGCGGGAGTAGTCGATCTCGCGGTTGTTACAGTCATATTGTGGCGTGGTCTTGAAGCCCCAGTTCATGTGTTTATTCTGGAAGGTCAGCCACCGCTGGCCGTCCACCCGCAGGTCGTGTTCGGCATTGAGGCCTCCGGCTTCCAGAAGAAGCACTTTGGGATGCTTTGGAGAGTTGGCCAACTGGCTTGCCACCGTGCTGCCGGCTGGACCACCTATTATTTAAGTTTCATTAGCGGACTGTGGAGACCCCGCCTGGGCGGTCTCACCTCCAATAACAATAAAGTCAGCAGCGGAATCCATTTCGTCTTCTTGGTTCTGGAATTGATCTCGGAAAGGCGATCGGGGGAGACAGAGAGGGGGGATACGAGGTCTTCATAAGGGGTTGGACTACTAGTGCGTCTTGGTGTGAATCTCCTCCGGCAGAGGGGCAAAAGCACGGACAGAAACGTTACTGACCGCTCCGCTGGCGTCGACTCCATACGGAACAAAGGAAATTAATGGGTATTCACTATTAGCATGCATGAAGCATTCGGCGCTTGTCGACTGGTGGTGTCTTTTGCAGGGATCAACAGTACCGGCGTTTGGAGCAACGTCCAATGGAGGGTTGCGATTAGCCCTAACTCACAGGGTTAGCGGGTCCTGGAACGAGCCTAATCTCCCGCTAATGTCTAATCATAGTATTTGGGGTATTGCGAGTTCCCACTTTATGGTTTAAGCTCCAAATTCACGTACGACAGTTGAGACCCTAATGCTGCATCAGGACGGATATGGATGGCACACTAGTTTTAGCCGTGTCCACAGCTCTCTCAGGGGGTGGATCTATGAAGGTACCGAATTATAGACCACGCTGCCCTCCAAAGAGGAGCCTTCTGGCCACACTACCTGTAACGGGCTGCTTCAGTTCATGCTAGAGTGGTGTTTGTTGATTCTACCCTTCGGATCATTGCCTTATTAGGAGATAGGTACGATGTCCTCTTGTTCACGGACGACGGGAGGACAGTATGTCCCGGTGAAGCGGTCCGGTTTTAACGCTGATGAGCAACACATTAGCTCCGTACAGATCTTGGCATCATAATTTCCAGGGCAAATTCCTCATGCCGCTGGTGGATCCAATGTTCCCGGAACCGTGTGAAGAATCCTGCAGAACGGTGCTTTGGGATTTTTCCTTTTCTTGTCCTAGCATCAAAGCACGTTGCCCCCGTTCCCAAAATGGCACCCTTTCCCTGTCCCTTGGAAGCGGGACCTAGCGCATGTGGTTCTTATACTTGGCGATTCCGGATCTCTGGAGTGACCCATTTGCTCTTCTTCCCTACACTGTGCGCTCTTCGGCTTCTTAGGTTGACATCATGGCTGCAGCAGACGCGGAGGCGTTCACCCTCCTCTCTCTGGGTCTAGTCTTCATTATTATCCGAATTTACGTGAGATGGACGTCGGTCGGCCCTGCCAACTTCCAGGCGGATGATTACTTGATGCCCTTGGCCGGGGTGAGTGCGAATGAAACCGACTGCAAGTTTTGCCCAGAAGAGGAGTACTTACACTCTAATATATAGCTAGCGTACACTGCCGAAACAGTAGCGGCGTACCTGGTTGGGGCCTTGTTCGGTGGACTCACGAATAGTTACATGACTCCTGAAGAACGTGCCGCACTTGACCCAAACTCGCGCGAGTATTATGATAGGCAATGGGGCTCGAAAATCCAGGTGATCGGGTGGTCATTCTATGCATGCATCCTGTGGTTGGTGAAGGCCTGTGTGGCCGTGTTCTATTCCCGGTTGACGTACGCTTTTCCTGCATTATTATATTACTTGTTAAATCCTGTATGGTTGTAATACTGACAAGTACAGCACTGGGCTCCAAAACCTACCAGGTCGAGTGCGGTTCGCATACGTCCTCATCGGAGTGACCTATCTTGCTGTAGCATTGTCTATCTTGCTTGGATGCCAACCGATGCATAAGTACTGGCAGATTAACCCAGATCCAGGAAGTAAGCCATTAAAGTTCCTTTGGTCTACTTCTACCATGTTAACAGCTTAGATATTTGCCAACCCACCAGGTCAACGCTCTACGTTCTTATTGTGGTCATTCCAAATGTATTGACCGACCTGTACCTGATGTCTATTCCGCTACCAGTTCGTCTCCCATTACCCCACCAAAAGCCACCAAAAGCTCACAATACGTCAGTTGTTATGGAAAGTCAACATTGGTATTAGGAGAAAGATTACCCTAATGGCTTTGTTCAGTGGCGCCTCCTTCGTGATCATGGCCGCTATCATCCGTGCCGTAACCATTATGACAGTACGCCCTACCCTTTCCGTAGACCTACTTCGATTGTTTCCAGACCTAACAAGCCCACCTTAGTCCGGACCTGAAGGCGCAGTCTCGGGTAGCAAATGGGCCTGTCGCGAAACATTCGTCTCCATCGTTGTCGCTAACCTCCCAATCATCCAACCCCTTATCCGCCGCGCGCCCAGAAAGTCGGTCTCAGCGGCCTTTTCAGTTCCAGCGGTGGACCTTCCAGCTACGGCCGTCACCGCACACAGTCCTTCCCACTAGGGAGCCGAAATCAACCATCTAAACGCTCGCGACACCCGCTTTCAATTCCGAATAACACGACAGCATGGGGCAGCGACGAGCACATCTTAGTGGAGGGTTCAGGCAAGGGATCGGGCAAAACGAATGACATCACAGTCACCCAAGAGATGATTATCGAGAGTGAGCCGCGTCGTACTGGCCATACTCCGGATGAGGCCCTTCCATCGCCTAATACATGGGATTCGAATAGGGGGCGGGCTCTTTGATTTCACTGGGTTTGGATTGGTTTTGGCTAAAGGTGGAGTTATGGTATTAAACGTGTTTCATGTAATATTATAAGAATTTCCTTTGTTAATGTATGCTCGATTGAAGTAATACCCAGACTAGAAACTTCACAGGACATTGTTCCATGGATCCCCAGGCAATAGTCAAGTATAGTCCAACAAATCCATGTTATAAAAAAAATAACAAGCTTTAGACTAGAGCATACGAATGCAAGAAAGGCTTGGCTACGGCCAAGACCATTAATTGGTTCGAATATCAAGTCAAGTATTAATTAACGTGATATATTAACGTGATATATTAATTAATATTAATATGATTCACCGCCAGCTATAGAACTTGACATCGGCATGTGGGGATAAATCTATATTAATACTTATTAAGGTCGGGTCGATGAGCTTAAATACTTATTGTCTCTGAATAAGAACCGTGGCTTGCTTAGCTATAGTCATTATAGTGATTATCGCTATTATTATATTGAATATGAGAGGCCGTTGTTCAATTAGTGAATTGCAGCCTGAGGCCTTCACTTGTGATGAAGTTTGCGCTAATACTCTTTAGGTAATATTGAAATCTAGGCACTCATCGGTTGAAATTTCCTAATTAGTATAGAACTTTAGGACTTTCGGAGAAAAGCAGACATACTCCAGAGTAGACTCTGTTATTCAAACAATACTCCAGACAATATCAATGTTCTTCAATAACCCAAAAATATTGGGCATAAAGCGCGCATTGTCTGCGTTCAACACATTACAGACGAGGAAAATGGACTCCAAATGTCTAATACTTCCTGACGAGGGTCAACTGCGGAAGTCGGGGAATAATGTACTCCGGTATTGAACGCTGATTGAGTTGATGAGGAAACATATCGTGTCTTTTAGGAACTCGTTAACTGCAAATTTTGGACGCCTCGCTTGTACCAGGTCTTTTCTGACGATCATAATTAGCCTGACTGGCTCTTTGCTGGAGCGTGGGGGCCATAAATATCATTTTGCGCTGGGGGCGGTCATCCTTCGCGACGGCTCGGCACAACGCTTTTTTACTAGCCTGCTTAACGGCAACACTAGATTGAGATGTGTTCAATCTGCAGGAGTATCTAGTATAGTCAGTCAGTGGTTAGTTGGGTGCACCGTTCCCCAACAAAGCACGGCAGCCGCTCCTTCGCCAAGGCAATAAGCGTGCGTTTGATAACAAAGGCACATCGCAGTCACAGAAGGGTGCAACGTTGTAATTATCAATCTATTACTAAACGATGGCGCCTCGGCAGGTATGATCGGTTGATCTGGAATGACCGCGCTGCAGTATGCCATCTACCTTGGTCAGGAGGATAAAGCTCGACTCCTACTGAAAAGATGCGATCCGAATGCCGGAGATGAAGAGGGACAGACGGCATTCCATTATGCCGTTCGGTCTAGCAGAGCCAGCCTGGGTTTTATACAGCTGGTAGTCGAGGCAGGTGCGGATCTGCACAAAGAGGATCATAGTTCAAAAACACCATTGCACAACGCGGCTCAGGGTAGAGGACGAGAGGTGGCCAGTTTTCTGGTCGAGCAAGCAACAAATTACGCCAATCGCTACCAGGAACTGGAGAAAGATGTTAAAAAGGGAACTGTTGCAGAAAGTCCTGCCAACACCGAAATTGAGTTGGATTTTCGGAAAATGGACTAGCCGATAGTAGTTGTAGGTTGATCTGACGAGTCTTTATAGTCTTACCTGGTTATATACATTTGAGATATTCTAAGACGACCCAAAATGCTAGTGATACACATAGTATGACTGATCAAAACTTAGTCAGGACGCAAGTGAAATGGCCCCTTCATCTGTATAAGGGACACCATGGGAGGAAATACCCTGAGCGTCGAGCGGCTGCACTCGCACCCCTCTGCGTAGAACATAACGTTGGAGTGGATTGAGAAAGTTGGTACTGAGTCGATATACGATGAAGTCTCCAGTGGACATCTTGAATGCCGACTGCATCTCTTTTAGAGTGTATTGTTTTGATTTCCTCATAAATAGATAGACGGCTAGCAAGGAGAGTAAATTGAAGACACTATGCGGATTAGTTGAGGTTGAGATTGCCCCAAAAGCATGAAGCACACGCTCACGTCCGACTATGCATCAGAGTGTACCAGCTGCCGATGTTTGGAACGGTGACTGTTACCGAGATCTGAGAAAACCTGGTAGATGCAAATTGCATTGTCAGCACCAGGCATGGAAGAACTCAATCCTTACAAACTTTACCTCGATGGGAAGGCGGAAATATCTCTGCACCATATGGGACGGAACAAGTCCCAGTCAAACAGTGGATATTATAGTGGAAACGCAAAGGAGCACAAAGGCCAGACGTCGTCAAATGCTTGAAAATGGTGCTCCCACAGTAAGATTCACAGGTGCGACAAGGTATATAATATACGAAACGTCTTTTGCATAATTGTTCATCACATCGACTGGGCAGTCGCCGTGAGCCCTGTTCCGGCCAGGCTGCCCGCCACCATAACCGAGACCAATGTCACTGTTGCTCGACGTATATATCGTTGAACCTTTAGTCGTCATGACCATTTCGAGAAAGTACTGTGCTCGAAAAGTGTCTCTTTCTCCTGAACCCAGCTGTCAATGAGGTGCAGGTCGCGTGCTGCGAGAATATCCCAAGTGCGGAGACGACGTAGTGACTCGAATGCCTTGTCCCAATAGCCCTGACGCACATACCAGTTGGGCGATTCCCATCCCAACCAAATAAGAAAGGAGCAAATGTTCTTGAGGATAAGGTCAAATGCACAAATTAATCCTAGGGTAAAGGGTGACAGACAGCCAAAGTCTAACACGCCTTAGGATGTTAACCAGAATCCAACAGGCATTCCCTTGTACAAATAGTCGACGATAAAATTGGAGGTTCCTACATAACCTTCGTCAAAAAGGGAACACATACACTGGCAATATGGACAAGACATTACTACGAGAAGCACTTGGGCTAATATCAGCCAGATAGATCAAGCTTGTGCAGCTGTTGATGTCCTCTAGAAGTATGGGCATCCACCAATTCTTCCACGCCTTTCTACTCTGTCTTCTCCAACTAATGTCCGCTGCAAGCTACAAATGTTGAATCGTGGCTGGCAATGGGAATCAGATCTGATTGAAGGTGAGGAGGCTGTGCAATGTGGCGATGATATGCAAAGGACCTGTTAGGCAACAACTCACATGATGACCCATCAGCTGGCGTTTGTCACCGAATAAGTAACGATGTACTAAGTACATTTCCTCTTTTCATCTAAAGACTACTCGCATAGAGTGGTATACACTTGCCATATTGTGTCCACCAGGAGTAACCACTGAGTCAAAAACAGCTCTGAAAATGGGAAAGTTTCAAGTTTTCCACGGAATATCAGTGCGCTAATTAAAGCTTTTCCTTAGACAACATTTAATGACCCCATGTCTCAAGTCTAGACTTCGATTCGAGCTATTCTCTTGACTCATTCGCTGCCAATAAAGCCATGGAATGGCGTGAGCCTGGCTTACTGTGCAGATTCGTGATGCAACGTTCCACAAACCTCCATCCCAGTGATTGGTATCCGTCGAGCCAACCAAAGCGCACAGATGCCAGCGAGGGATGGTGAGCCCCAGATTGTCGCAGTCTTTCTATGAGACTAGGACTTTGTATCCCGAACTATCGCTTGAGTATGGTATGAGATAATACCAAGCTTTATAGAAGCTTTATATAACCACGACCTGGATCCGAATGAAATTAATCCCGCGCCCATTCAGGGCCGTTGCAAATCCGTGTCCTGTGGCTGATCTCGATCCCGACTGAGGAGGGGTAGGTCCTCCTTTTGAGTCTACCATAGGCGGATCGGTATGTACGTTACATGGCTAAACTTGTGGGCGGCAAGCAGTTTGGACGATGATTAGGTTACGGTCACAATGCCCAGACAACTAGTTTCTGCCCAGTGTTGGACAGGTTTGAGACATCCACGTCAGACAACGCTTAAAGTAATATATACCTTGGACGCCGCACGTCTCCATGTTAGAGCTCATTCCAGAGTTTGTGGGTATCTTTGAAGGATCTTCTGCAAATGCCCTACACGACGCTTATGAAGTCCTTTCGGGTGAGATGGCCATTGCGATCCAGGAAGCTCCGTAAAAAAGGGGAGCTAGACACTGCCGCCGAAGACAGCGATCCTCTTATCCTTAGCGCGGTTGCTGACGATTCCGGGGTGAAAGGAAGACATGGGATGAAAGTAGAACAGATTTCACTTAAAGATGATAAAAAAAGTGACAAAATATCCTCGCCACAGGTTGGATTTTCTTGGGGAAAAGCGCAAGAGTATGGTGTTGAAGCCTTCGACGCTTCTTCATCGGCGCCAGTGACGGTGACCTTCATGGAGAAAAAGAGCCTTTGGGTGCGAGCAGAACAGCTGCTACGCGAGGATGATAAGAAAAGGAGAATCTGGCAAGCATCTTTGGATATACTCGAGGAAGAATTCGGATCTCGACTTCAGCCAACTGGGAAGACAGATCTCCGGCGGCAGTTCTGCAATTTATTGGACGCCAAAACTCGCGATCTAGAAGGGAAGAAGTGGTCAGTCCGATTTGGTGACCACACAATCGCGGTCAAAGATCAGCTCATTCGTGTTTTCCAAAATGTATTGATAGCCAAGGATGCGATCGGGCACGCAGCGAATCTGAGCCCGCCAGCTGCAATCGCTTGCGCTGGGGTGACCGTTGTTCTGTCAGTGAGTTGATACCCTAGCAATGTCACTTATATTCTAGTCAAAGATGCTAATCAAGCAACAGCTTGTTGTCCAAGCTGCTGAGCAGCATGCCGCGCTTTTGCAGGGACTAGAGTCGACCTCTGCGTTGATAAGTCGCCTTCGAGTCGTTGAAGAGATCTACTTATCCCGTGGGTCGTCTCAAGCCGCCCAGTTTGGGACCGAGTTTGAAGAGACATTGACACAGTTGTATACGAAAATATTGGAATTCCAGGCTCGAGCCCTATGTTATCTGGGAAAACATTCGATTACCAAACTTTTAAGCGATATGTTCAAACACGATGGATGGGATGCGCTGCTCCAGGGGATTGACAGGCTCGAGGTCTCTGAGAAGAGATTTGCTGATCTCCTTGATGCTGTGGAAGTGAGACAGAAACTTGAAACCCTTCAAAGTGCTGTAGACAAAAGCCAGTTGTGGCAAACAACAACTGCCCGAGATGAGAAGGCCAGCAAGTTTTTAAGACTTCTGTACACCTGTCCTTACAAGGACCAAAAGGAAAGAAATAACGATCGTGTTCCAGGAACATGTGAATGGTTCACAAGCCACGTTCAGTTCCAGAGCTGGAACCAAAATAATGGGCCAAATTTGCTATGGGTTTCGGCGGACCCAGGTTGCGGGAAATCAGTCTTGGTGAAGTATTTGGTTGATGCAGTTCTTCCTACAAGGACGAGAACGGTTTGTTACTTCTTTTTCAAGGACGACTTTGAAGACCAGAGGAGCTCAACATGTGCTCTCCGTACAATTCTACGGCAGCTTTTTCTTGCACAGCCTCACATATTGCATGACTTGATATTGGACAAGGTTGAGGCAGATGGGGCCCAGCTTACGGATTCGTTTTGCGATCTCTGGGAAATTCTGACGAGCGTAGCCAATACTCCAAGCTCTGGGGAGGTGGTATGCGTATTTGACGCCTTAGATGAGTGTCGAGAAGCTGACCGAATCCGATTCACCCGTGCAGTGAAAAATCTCTTTATCCCAGAGCCCAGAGTGTCTAACTTGAAATTTCTTATAACGAGCAGACCTTACGAACACATCCGCCGTGGGTTCTGGGAACTCGAAGCTCAGCTACCAAAAATTCATCTCAGTGGTGAGAACGAGGTTGAAATCGAGAAAATCATGAAAGAGATAGACCTCGTTATCAAAGAGCGGATTAGCCAGATTGGCAAGCAGAAGTCTTTGGAAATTCAAGAGTGTGAATTTCTACAGGAACAGCTCACAAGCATTCCCAACCGTACCTATCTTTGGGTGAGCCTCGTAATAGATGTTATCGAGAACACGACCGGTTTCACAAAAGGGAACGTCCGTCGAGCTATACAGTCACTACCTCGGACCGTTGATGACGCGTACGAGAAGATCCTGAGCCACAGTCCTGATATCGATAAAGCAAAGACCCTTCTACATATTGTTACTGCTGCAAAGGAACCGCTATCCCCAAAGCAGGTATCTCTGGCCATGGCCATTAGTCCAGAGCACCGATCCTACACGGACCTTGAAGAAGAGCTAGAGTCGGAGCATGGGTTTCGGAGAACTGTTAGGGATCTATGTGGACTCCTCCTAGTCATCATTGATGAGAAGATCTACCTACTTCATCAGACCGCGAAGGAGTTCTTGGTCCGTGACGAATTATTGGCACCGCTTAGTGGTGAGCCCTTTCTTTCTAACTCATGGAAGCATTGTCTCCAGCCAGAGGAGTCGAACAAAGTACTTGCCGAAAAATGCATTTGGTATCTAAGTTTAGCCAACGAGAGGGTTCACGGAGACCCTTTTTTCAGGTACGGAGCCCATTATTGGCCTTTACATTTTCGTGAATCTTGCATGCTTGAGAATGATGCAATAGCAGCACAGGCGCTGTGTCTTTGTGAAGCAGGATCCAACAAACATGAGGCATGGGTACGATACTGGATACAGCGCGAGTATGAGAAGATTGGCCCAGCTGTATCTTTCCGGTTCCCCCGCGCCCCCACAATATGCATAGTATCTTACTTAGGGCTCGAAGCATTAGTGGGCATGTTTCTCAATGCTGGCGGAGTGGACATGAATGTTAAAGACCCCGAGTTTGGGTGCACGCCACTATCGTGGGCTGCAGCATATGGGCATGAGATAGTGGTAAAGCTCCTTGTACATTCGGGGAAGGTTGACCCAGACTCCAGGGATAGTGAAGGCAAAACACCATTATCATGGGCTGCAAGGCGTGGACATGACAAAGTAGTCGAGCTCCTACTTGGTACAGGCAAGGTTGACCCAGGCTCCGAGGACTATTCAAGAAGAACGCCATTATCATGGGCTGCAAGCCGTGGACATGACAAAGTAGTCGCGCTCCTTCTTGATTCAGGAGAGGTTGGCCCAGACTTCAAGGTCAAGTCTCAAGTACTTGATGTTGCAGGGGTAAAGTCTAGCCCAGGCCACATGACCAAGGTGGAAGAAACGCCACTATTTTTAGCTGCAGATAGGGGACATGACACAGTAGTCAAGCTCCTGCTTGATACAGGCAAATTTGACCCAAACTTCAAGTACGATTTAGGATTGACATTACTATCTTATTCTGCACAGCAGGGACATGAGAAGGTGGTAAGAGTCCTACTCGATGCACAGAATGTGGATCCAGAATCTAAGGACATGGTGGGAAGAACACCGCTATCATTAGCGGCAATGAGGGGCCAGGAATCGGTTGTGAATCTTCTGATAACATCTGGCAGGGTTGACCCAGACTCTAGAGACTATACGGGCAGAACGCCATTATCATTAGCTGCAATGTGTGGACATGGACATGTAATAAAGCAGCTATATGATACGGGCAAGGTGGATCCTGACTCCAGGGATAATGATGGTCGCACTCCATTATCATACGCTGCAGCACATGGACATGAGCGTGCATTAATGCAGCTATATAATACAGGAAAGGTGAATCCTGACTTTAGACAGGATAGGGGAAGAACACCTTTATCATTCGCTGCAGAATCTGGACATGGACATGTAATAAAGCAGCTTTGTGATACGGGGAAGGTGAACCCAGACTCCAGGGATATTGATGGTCGCACTCCATTGTCATACGCTGCAGAAGCTGATTGGGGAGCGCAAGCAGCCATAAATTGCCTGCTAGAAGTTAAAAAGCCGAACCCCGTTGTACTCTCACATGCTGTGGCAGATGAGCGGAGACGTCAATCTGCCCTAAAGGCGCTGCTAGAAACTGAGGAAGTGAACGTTGATTCAATGGACAACTGTGGACGCACTCCTCTCTCTTATGCTGCGGCAGCTAAGTGGCTAGATCCACAGCCCTTAGAGGCGCTTCTTAAAACCGGGAAGGTGAATGTTGAGTCAATGGATGAAGATGGGCGTACACCACTGTCGTACGCCGTAGAAGGGTGGAAGAAACTGCCTGATGAGCTTGGGGGGACAATATTCTCAGCGGTAGAGCCACTTCTTGAAACTGGGGAGGCCAATATTAAGTCAAAAGACAAGCATGGCCGCACGCCACTGTCATACGCTGAGGGGGATGGGAGGGAAGCTCTCAGAAAGCTACTCATGGACGCTCTACAGTCAAAGGGGTAAGTCCTATGTCCCTTTTACCTCGACCGTATCACTTGGTTTTGGGGCTGTGGGATATGTTGGTCCATGGAACAACGACTGACATAACTCGCAGAGCGGGAGTAGCTCAACCATTGAGGTGTCCCAACAATCACAAGTGGATCCATGAATATTGCTTGTTTTGGTGAGTGAGATATTCGTCCAATGCAGCAGCTCATGGAACTGATAGCTTTTCCGAAGACGTACATTGTCAAGAGTGAGTCCGTGACACGGCTATCTCTGTCTCTATGAAATCTGTTAGAGATCGAGTGCCCAAGGCACGACCTTAGTGGCATATGGGATTGTGTTCGAATGGGATTGTCAAATTGTACTGCCTGGAAGGATTTCGGCTCGAATTATTCAAAGTTTTGCCCAAATTGAAAGTCATTGAGAGAAGCATTACCTTTAACTTTAAGATATGCATACTGCCATGCTACTGAATTTATGTTCATTCCTTTCACTACCCAAATACTTGTTTCCTGGGGCGTCGATATATAGTAATCACTCTACTAAGCTACAGTGGATATCAAGCGCCCCGAGCGCGCTAACGATAGTCTATTTAAACTATGTATGCACCTACTATCAACGGTATTTAGTGTACGTACCAAGGATCAATGAGCTCCATTTCTGCCCCGGATCCGCGTTAATCACAATCTCCACCCATTGCCGATCAGAACCACCAAACTATTACGTATCGACATACCAAAATACATACATAAACTATCACCCACTCCCCAAAACGCCAATCTAAACACAGAACTACAAGTAAATCTATCCCCATGTTGTCAAATCCACGGCAAACAAGCTACACTCGACTTCGCCACAGAGCACGAAAGTAGACGAATCCGCATAGATCGATTGAGAAAGCAAGATGACACCTGGAATCTACCTGCGCGTCCGAAAGAATCAGTATCATCAAGAATATATCGCTCCCGGGAGGCTGGATAGGACGGGTTTGATGGTGGAGCCTGATCTGTTTCTGTGGAATTCGGTCGGTAGCTAATATGAGGCCGGTTTGAGGCTGTGGATGGTTTGCTCTGACGCTGGGGATTGGGATGGATGGTTGGTTTGCGGGGGTTTCTGGGTTCTTCTTGGTGTTGGGGATGCTGTGGTGGTGTTCTTTGCTCGATGTGTACGGTGTTCAGAGGGTTGTTTTGAGGGTTCCTCTTGTTGGAGAAGGGGCTTATATCAGGGCTGAGTGGTTTTTTGGGGGATGGTTTTGTGAGTAAAGGGTTTGTATGTTTAACACGATCTGATAAGTACATTGCGTAAATAATTGTAAGATGATGCTGCTATCGTAAACATAAAGCCATGAATCAATCAGTATGCATAGTTATCCCAACCTTCATTTACATTCTCCATACCCGCTTCGCGAACCTTTCGTCTCACCCAGTCGACGAAATCACACCCTCCCGGTCACAGGCCGATGCTTTACGAACATCTCAGGAGGGAACTTCTCCTTGTTATTGTGGTCTTCGACACATTGGTTCTCATGTCTCGGTGTCTCCACTTCCACGAACGACATCAACTTCTGCCACTCCGATAACACCACGTCGATCTCCATCTTGGAGTCTCCGACGATTGCGTCCATCTTGATATCGTTCCGGTCGTATCCGAACGGATCCTCCAGTTGTGATCCGATTCCTTCGATTCCGTACAAGGTGAAAATAACCAGACTGACAATGGGGACAGTCCACCAGCCCAGGTCGTCGACCATTCCGAAGGGCAGGACACAGCCGAAGAGAGCGAGGACTTGTTTTTGGTGGATCCTATATCATCATCAGTATCGTCTTCAAGGACAATTACCAGTGAATTAAGGTATGAAAGAAGGAAGAGACTCACAAATGCGCAACAGGAATAGGCGTTAACCGAATCATCTCCATCTTTCCCACAGCATCCATCAACGAGTTCAACTGCGCCTGCATCTGACTCGCCCCTGGCGCATTATACCAACCTCTCTCGACACCTCTCTTGATAAATCCATCTACGAAGAAACTCAACTGGAATGGCAGTGGCAACCCTTCGTCCTCGTGACCCTCGAGTCCCTTTGGGAGCAGATTCGCGTAGTCGGGGTTATATGCTGCGACTCCGTCCTCGCCGACATCGTCGCCGAAGGAGTAAAAGGCCGCGCCCCATTCGGCGCGGAGGTGATTTTTCACAGCGTAAGGTATGGCCGTGAGGATGCGGATAGTGCGTTCAATGTCTTCTTTTTCGTCTTGACGGAGGGGACGCGCGGTGCTGTAGCCATTGGTGAGGATGGTACGGACCAGGTTGCGAACGCAGGTTGTTACGGTTGTGAGGCTGCTGCGACCATCCCAGAAGCGGTTATAGCTGGTTTGGTTGCGGAAGACGAGCATGAGGCCCACCACTATCGAGAGGGAGGGGATCTGTGGTTGGTGGTGAGTTAAATGCTCTTTGGAGATAATAAGAATGAGAACCAAGCTTACGATGCTACTGGGTAATCCGACGGTATCAAAGATATACAGATCTAGACAAACGACGAAGGCCGTAAACAGCGCGTGAAAGAGTACAGGGATAATGATGGCGCCGTGAATGGCGCCTTTGATGAATCGGAATACGAGAGGCCATCTGAAGGAGTCTTCGATCAGATCCGATCCTGTTTAGAGATACGCGGTACGTACCTTCGCGGCTTCTGTCGATGGGAGAGGAGATGCGGATGTGTGCCATGTCGAACAAACGTGCTTTGACGGCTCAGCGCCGGGGTTGACGGGGCGCTCAAGTTTAATCTCATTTTCCTGCTGTCATTCGAGTGTTCTGGGATAAATGCTCTTTCAAAAAGGGAGAGAAGTGAGGGAACTGGCAAAGGGCAGCGGTCAAGCAAAACAAAAGTGTTCCGGTGGTTCGATGGTTTCCACTAAAAGAAGTTGGAGGGGCACGCCGATCCCTCAGGCAAATCACAGGAGTCGAAACTCCACACTAACCGTGGTGGTGAGGGCCGCTAATCATAGTCCGGCATAGTTTAAAAGTGCAGCGTTCCCGCGTCCTCGTCCTATCGTAATGTTCGATGCGGGTGCCGATCTCTCTGTCGCTTCAGTTCCCCAGCACGCGTGGGGTCGTTAATTGGATCTCCGCACGAAATTGTGGATGTGCAGGCGCTCTGAAAGCCCCCGACAAACGCTATTTAGAATCACTGGTCCGACCGCCCTTCGGTGGCGAAACGGTCGCAAGAGGATTGGAAGATGGACTCGGGCGAGCCAAGAAGTGGCATTGTTGCTTTAGTAGCAGAGTTGGCCAGTGCGATTCCCACGCACGGTCGCAGTATAAATGATGTATGTACACACATGCTCAATCAAGCGCTATCAAAATAAAACGCAAGGGAAAATTGGTAACAGGAGAACGAATGCAGACGGGGAGATCGTCGAGGGACCACCGGCAACCTTGGCGAGATCGCAGAATGTATGCAGATGCCAAAAACGCCAATACCAGCCGGCTGGAGTGCACTGTCGGACAGCCAGTGAGGACGCAATGGAGAGCCTGGCCAAGCCGACCGAGAGGAGCAATCAGGCGATGCGAAAAGGGGGTATAATTTAAAACCAAGGGCAGCTGGGTTCCAGATTGCGATGCTAGATAGAGATAGGAAATAGCTATGCGGGGGTGTTGAACTAAGAATGATGCAAAGGAGATAAACGAGAGGAAATACGGGAAAGGATGCAGGACAGTCTTAAGTGGGACAACTAGATGCCGCTGGCCGAGCGCTTCCCCGCCCACGAAGGTCAAGGTAGTAACTGCGCATGGTGTCCCATGACTTCGTATTTCATAGAATTGTCCTTCTTCACGACATGCTAGCCCGGCCGTCAAATACCAGAGGACCAGAATCATTGCGGGGCGTCAGAGGGTTATCTTCGGAGGATTCAGAACGAACGGGTGTATCTGCACGCAGCTGCGCCTGCCGGCACTGAAGAGCACTAGCCGTAGGAATCGGTATCCCGATGCCCCCCGTGACAGCAGGGGGTGGATCAGCCGCACGGGGTCTTTCGTCATCGAGGTCTCTCGATGTATTATTTTCATTGAGGTGCATTGTCTCAACGTCGTGAGCAAGCCCTGCTGCCGCGGGCAAGGGACTTGGCTGGGCATCCACGGAGTCTTGCGAGGAGTTGGAGGCCTCCGGAGTTGAGTTACTTTCTAGTTGAGGGGTGCGGGTTTCGGATCGACCGTCCTGAGATGAATCGCGTGGCTCCTCGGTGGAGGTGGGCTTTTGCTCCAGCTCCTCGTAATCGTTCGAATCATCAACCTCGGCGCTGAGATCCGTATATGCACGGCAATTCGGGCACTGGAACATGGGGTAATCCGGTGTATGGATGAGGCGACTAACGCACTTGTAGTGCCAGACATGGGCGCACGCTGCCATAAACAGACACTGGTAAGGTCTCTACACGCGATGTTAGCCACGGGCTGTCCAGGAAACGAAACGGCACAACAAAAAAGCGGTGAGACAAACCAAGACAGATCCAAGACAGATCGAGCATTCGCGACATCCAGAATAGTCCGCCGTATCGCCTTTGCCCAAGTTTTTAATGAGGCTCTCGGTATTTTTACTAGAGCCCGGTTAGCATGGTCGTCTCCCTCCCTCAATGTATGGGCCATACTTGAACTCGTTAGGCTGCTGCTGCCAGGACCGGTTGCATTCGATGCGTATACGAACGCATCGGAAAATCATCTCTTCCCCACCCCTGAAATCAATACCCAGCTGCACGATGTCACCATCCTTCACTGTGTACAGCCGAGACGCCATGTTGGGTTGACTCAACCGCATGTGGTTCAAAAAGGTGCCCGATGAGCTTCCGACATCCTTAATGTGCCACTGCCCGTTCACGTACAAAAATTCACAATGTTTTCGACTGACGACCTTCGACTTGAACCCAACAGCCGCGTCGGAGGGCTCCGTAGGGTTTGCGACGGGCAAACCATCTCGCTCAGAGTATCGCCCGACCCGGATCACACTACTCTCCGATGGCAACGTTCGA